GGGAGTGTGAAATTTAAAACTCCAAATGATTTTCATAAGTAACACACATTAGTAAACAGTTTTTTTTTTTTTTTAACTTTTAATCTGTGATTCAAATAAAAAGCATCAAAATTGATGCGGGAGGTAGAAGTATATTTTGTTGTATGTTTCTATACGTATATAATGGGTGAGGACCTATTGGTGTTTATTTCCACCTATTTCTTAGATGGAAATCCATGCTTCAGTTAAGTCAAGTTGCATTGCATCTTCTCTGCTGTTTGCTTCTTACGAACTTGGCCTTCTATGTTAAAATGTTTTAATTCAAGCACTTTCTGTTTCACATGTGTCACATCCAGAAGAGGTTGGCTGTGTTTTCCCCTGATGGCACATGTTTTGGTCATGACTGAGTTTAGGCTCCTTGGCACCTTCAGTGTTTAGCTGTTGATGGGTGGCCTGTGGACCTTCTTCTTTTTTTTTTTTAAAGATTTTATTTATTTATTTGACAGAGAGAGCGAGAGAGCACAAGCAGGGGGAACAGTAGAGGGAGAGGGAGAAGCAGGCTCCCCACCAAGCAGGGAGCCCGATGCGGGGCTCGATCCCAGGACCCTGAGATCATGACCTGAGCTGAAGGCAGACGCTTAACGACTGAGCCACCCAGGCGCCCTGTGGACCTTCTTCTTATGAGGAAGGTTTTGAGGAAGTTTAGAAATCAGAAGCCTTCCATGTGACTAAAGAGCAGCCTGCTGCCATTCTTGAGAATTCTGATAATCTCTGACACCCAGAGATTAGAGCGTTCTTTGGATCGTACTGAGACACTCAAAAGTCATCCAACTTGTAGCATTTTTTAGCAGTGGGAGCACTTGGTTGTAGTTAGCAGGCCAGAATGAGCTATAAATAAATAAAATCCTATAGTGCTTGCTTGCTTCATTCAGGGTAGTCTGCTGATAAGATGCAAGCATCTGGCAGAAGAGAAGATTCTCAGCAGGTTTAAGTGCTTACCAAAGTGCTTTCGTGTATCCATGGCTCAGCTTCTAGTCTCTGCTGTGTTATTTTGGCACTCTAGACTTGTAAGATTGGAGAGCCGGGTTTAAAACTCTCAATATATCATTAGGGTAGCCCAAGGTCCCTTCTTGTCAAAGAAGACTAGCTGATTCCAGGGGGAAGGAAAAGCAGAATCCAGAGCACCTGTAAATCCCTGTAGTTTTGTGCTGTGGGTTTGTAGCTAATTATACAGCAGGCAACAGTAATATGCTGTAGCTCTGTTGGCATACTTGTTTCAAAAAGAGCAAAACCTTCCAGCAGAGCAAAGAAGGGGCTGTGAAAGAGCTGCAAATGAATGAAGCAATGATCATTTTATTGTAAACGAAAGCTCTACAGTGGAATTGGGGCATCTGAACTGCAAGGACGTGGTGGGGGAGATGCCAGTAGAAATACATGGTTCACATGTGTTTTACAGCTCTTGATTTGGATTCTCCTGCAGAAATATAGTCACACAAGGAGACCACCACTGGTCACAGCCAGCCAAATTGCTCTTTCTCCTATGGTAGTGCTGTTAGCGACTGCTAGTAGGTTAGTCAGCCGACCTCTTCTGATTCTGCTTTGCTGCCTTATTTCAAAAGATTTGCCCTATACTGGCTTTCAGTCACAGCTTGATGTAACCACTGCTTGTTTGCATGCATCCCCATCATTTTCATATAGGGTCTTTTTTTTTTTTTTTCCAAGTTAGACGGCGAAAGAATCAGGAGCATTTTTATATGATAAAAGATTTATGTAGGGCCAGCTAGAATCGAGCAAAATGAAATTCAGCTGGAAGGGATGGTAAAAGGCTGAGAGAACTTGTGACTGCCAGAGAAGTCAGTGTTCCTTAAATAAAGAGGGTTCAGCTAGCATGCAGCAACTCTGACTTTGCATTCATATTGAAGCAGGTCTCCAGCCATTCTGTGCAGGCAGATCAATAAAATCAGAGGTGACTTAATGCCAAGAACCTCAGAATGCAAAGGATTTCTCTTGTCCTTCTTTAAATTTAGTCTGTATTGATGTGGAATGCTAGCCTCAGGCACAGAGATGAGAAAATGCTAGGTCTAGAATCTGGTTTATGACACTGTAGTGAGCAGTGTCCTTGGAAAACATTCCCTTTGCTTTCTCAGTTATCACATCTGTAAAATGGAGCTAATCTGCTGGGAGGAAAATGCTTCCAGTATTTATCAAAACACTGTGAATAAAGATTCATTAAGTGCTTCCAATAGTTTAAACAGCAAATGTCTAATGAGAAGTGAATTTATATCCCATGTATGTATTTGAAAATGCAGCTGACTGCCTTATCAGAGATTGAGTAGTTTGACTATTTTTACATGATGAGTATGCAGTGAAATGTTGGTAGATTTGATTTTATTAAAAGCTCTATAAATGGAATATTAGATGCTATACAGTTTCTTCTTTGGTTGTTCATCTTTATGCAGACCATGGATCTAGCTTTCTAGTGTGTCACAAGTGTGTGCAGTATCCCACACTGGTCATATTCTTTTTTTTTTTTTAAAGATTTTATTTATTTATTTGACAGAGAGAGAGAGCGCGAGAGAGGGAACACAAGCAGGGGGAGTGGGAGAAGGAGAAGCAGGCCTCCCGCGGAGCAGGGAGCCCGATGTGGGGCTCGATCCCAGGACCCTGGGATCATGACCTGAGCTGAAGGCAGATGCTTAACAACTGAGCCACCCAGGCGCCCCTCACACTGGTCATATTCTTAAATTGAGCAAAGAGCCCCTATCTAGGGCAACAAAATATACAGATGATCATTGTGGACATGGTTAATTAAGTATTTAGCTGGTGATAGAGTTAATCCTTCTTTCCCTGCTCATCTCCTGTGCAGCCCCACAGATTCTTATTGTGCCCAAGAGGATAAGCTGCATCTAAACTTACTTCTTCCATGAATGATTTGGGGCCATCCTGTTAAACACTGGAGATGCTGGGAGTTTTTCTTCTTACCCCATGCTGTGTAGATGGTGCAGGTTCCTATAACACAGCAGCAGGGGGCCTCCCTAGGAGAGCTTTGACAATTGCTGATGAAGAAGTGCCGGCTTTTTGTTGGGGATGTTCTTTTCATTCAATCTGGGCCCTTCTCTGCTGAAAACTTGGCCCTCGTCCTGTGAAGACTCCAGAAGGGATTATAGTGCAGCTACAGAAACAGTGGCACCACTTTACTCATTTAAGAAATTGGTTATCAGTTGAGAGAGATTATACTGGTTTCCAAATTCCAGAAACCTGAATGAATGGAGCCTGAGATTGCTTTGGTTGTAGGATTCTTCTCTCTGAACTGAGGTTCATGGTAGGAGGCTGTGCGGGTGTTTTCTTTAGAATCCTCGGTATCTTGAAAGGAAGACTTTCCTATATTCTCATTAGCATTTACTGTTAGTTTTCTGCTTAGCTACAACTCCCTCTGCCCTAGAACCTGTGCATACTTTTTGTTTGTTGAGGATGGCCACTGTGCATTGTGACTAAGGAACTCTTATAAAATGAAACCCATTCCCATGAACGAGAGGCTCAAAGAATCCAAATTGCAAAGGTGCAGGTTTTTGCACTCCGAGGTTGCTCTTGCTGCCGTATGAATTTGCTCTGTGATACAGGTTTGATGCAGAGAGCATTGCTACTCACAAATCACACGAGGTATACAGTTTGTGTGCAGTGATATGTCACAGCTTTTTATTTATATGGCCAGCTCAGTCTATTCTGCTCCTTTCACTGCCATGGAAAGTGCATCATTTTCCTCCCTCTCTCCTCCTTCCCACATATCATCAGCACCACCCACTATGTTCTGCCCATTAAGTTCTGTGTGTGCCAGAAAACCCCAACAATGATTAAATGCTGATAAAAGAATGTTAGAAGGTTAAGATATCAACCAATCAATGCCCTTATAGACCTCCTAAATTGTGGGTGGTAAGTATAACTTTGCCCTTTTAACATTGAAAGTAAGGTTTGTGGGTTGGTTTTTTTGTTTGTTTTTTTTTTTCAGTTGAGGAAATGACTTATGTCAAATTAAGGACGGGGGAGGGAAAGCCTTGGTGGCAAAGACCAAAGAGAATGCAAGAGACTTGCTTTGCAGTTTCCATTCTTACCCTAATCTTTCTTTCATGATATGGGCACATTCTTGGTCAGGAAACCCTAGGGCTGGCCAAATTTAGGTACGGTTTTATTTATGACAGGCCTAGAGTTTTTGAACTTGCAATAATCTTAAAAAGTCATTATTACCCTAAGGTCGTTTAGTTTTAAAAAGTGTAAATTACTTAATTTTAAGAAAGAATATCACTCTAGTCATTGAATCATTTATCATTACTTTCCTATATGATTTTCAGTTTTTTTTTAAGCTCCCATAGGCGGAGTACACTCGTTTCCAGCACCACCACTACCTCTCACCACCTCCCTGGTCTGTGGGAGGAGGAGCATGGGTAAAGAGGCTTAGAAAAGGTAGCTGGGAATCCAGATTCCGGGCTACTTTTCGTTGGAGGAGACTTTGTGAGTTCACCTCATATTCTGGAAAAGCAATTAAGGTGGGAGGGGCTGTGGAATCAAGTTCTCTGGACTTCTTATAAAAATTTCAGTAAAACAGGAGCAAGAAAGAGGATTCTGTAAGAATTGTGTCAAGAATGACATTTCATGTTGAAGCTTAAGATAATATACCATATCCATAAAGCTTAAATTAATTCTCATGAGGCTGTGTTTTATCACTACTCTGAGTTATTTTTTTTTTGGTTGAGGAGTTATTTTAAAAATAGAGCTATTTTTAAAAATCCATGGTAAATCTATTCTGACCCTTTCCATCAGCAGTTGCTGTGGTGAGGTAGGTCAGGAGGCATGCCTCTTTGGAGGCACCCTGGGGGTTAAAGGGTAATGAGCACTTAATTATGTCTCTTGAATACCAGAGCACCCAGACTGGAGCTCCTCATGACCGGTCTGTATCTGCTCTGACAATTCTTTTATTATGGCTTTCACTAACCTACCAGTAACTAACTGTGGTTGTTTAATTACAGAGGGAACATCCCCACGCTAAACAGGTACCGTATGTTTAGTTTCTTTTCCAATTAAAAGCACCTCTTTTGTAACTTAGAATAGTGAAATCAGGGAAAAAATAACACTATATTTGACAAGTAATATGCTGTCTTCTGCTAGGGGTTCCTGAGCTCCCCTTTAGACATACTAAATTATTCTTCCTTGGAAAACATGTCTTCAGCTTTTCTTTACTGTTCCAGAAGCAACACTTGAAAATCCTCAGTATGGAGAAGCCCTCCTTCCACCCCTCCCATCTAGCTGTATATGACAGGGGAGTTGTCTGCCTGATGTTCAGCTTTGCTGTAAACATCTTCTTCTACTACGTTCTCTGCCTAGTTTGGGCCTTTCAGGGGAGAAGGCTTTAAGGTTACTCCTACCCTGCAAATTGTTCACAATTTTTTTCAATTTTTAGTTTCTCAAGTTTGCTTCTCCTTTTAGAAGAATGTAAACGCAGGAATAGCTGATCTCATGTTTTATCAGTTTGTTAGCTTTATTAATTTGTTAGCTGCTTCTCTAAAGTGTTACAATGTTGTGAGAGTCAAATTTTATTTCAGACTCATGAGATTAACATTCGAAAAGTGTGTTTAAGTTTTGATGTGTGTAGCCCTGTGAAGAAGTTTCCAGGCCAATATAACACATTTTGGTATTTTGAGTTCCTCCTGTTTCTGAGCCAAGCAAGGCAACACAATGCAAGTTTGAGAGGATAGCCGTTCTGTTTGGAATTGAATCTACAAAATGCCAAAGCAGTAATAAGTGGGTGGTGAGCTCTTTGTAGATGATCAATTATACATTGAAATATTTATAGGCTTATGTTTATTTTGTTCCTCTCCCTTTCAATATTAAGTAATCAAAACTGATTATAGCTTTTAGAGTCCAATTTGGACGGGGAGAGAAAAGGGAAGTGCTTTGGTTTGGTCTTTGTGTCTGCCTTTGGAGAGTGGGCTTGGTTCATTCCTGCCTGCCAGGACAGCCATGTCCTAGCCCCTGAGCAAAGGAGAGGAGGGGGAAACTGAATAGTGGCTGTTTCCCTTGGGGTTCAGGTGAGTGAAAAAGACACTTAACCCCATGTTTGCCACAAAACCTGTTAGCTTATTCAGAGGGAGTTCCCTTTAAGTGCTATCTGGAACCCTTTTATCTTTCCTGTCTAAAGCCAGGCAGGTAGAAAAGATATAATGCCTCACAAACTTGCTCCTTTAGTAAATACATTTGGTGATCCTAGAAAAGAGGATGGTAGCATTTCTGAGTTCATATAACTCCGAATCCCAGTTTCTAGTGAGCACCATGTGTAAGCCTTGCTTGATGTGTGTTTCATTTGTTTGTTTCATTCATGGTTTCAATGGTTTCCTCTCCCACTCTGCCTTTCTGTTCTCTAGTACTGTCAAAAGATGAAGTGCCTTTCTCATAGTCGTCATTTGCCAAAGGTATAAAAACTTGGAGTGTCAGTCTCTATAGTCTGTGTGAGCAGCACTCCCATCCCCTGAAAAATTCCATTGCCTTTTATAATTACACTTTGAATAGAGTACAGTCTGTATCCAGACCTCAAGTCCGCATTGCTGCCTCTCTCCCCCCTGCAGTTCGGCAGGTGGTACACTTCAAGGAGATTTTTGAGCAGCTCCCCAAAATTCAGGTGCCATTGCCTCACTCTGAACTTGATTCAGATCAGTATGCCGGTAGCAGGTCAGGCAAGTCCTGAAGGCATCCTTTACTTGGTCCTTCCTAACAGGCTGTCCTGACTGGGCATTTGGAAATACTTCCCTGTATGACTTACCAGTACATGCTGCCGAGGTGCATTAAGGAATATACAGACCCCTTCTGTTTTTAGACTGAACAACTCAGTTCTCTTTGAGCATCTCCATTTAGCACCTGTTTGTCATGCTTACACATACTTTGAGACCCATGCTCTGCCCCTTTGCATCTTGCTGGGATTTATTAAGGGCTTTCAGTTGAAGATATGTTTCCTTTGGTATAGAAGTATTTAAATATAAAAAAGGAAATTTTGCAATTTCGAGTTGAAAAAGGTCTCTTTCAAAAAGGGAGGAGCTATATTCCTTATAACTGCTATCCCAATCAGCCCAGTAAAGGAAGAAGTAAATGCCGTAGTAAAGTTTCTTTTATAGACTGTGACTTGTTTCTGTATGAGAAATAATGTTTTCTACAATGACTTACTAAACCATTCCAAATGACTTTGTTGTTGTTGTACAAGCATATATCTATCTGTGAATACTTAAGGCATTTTTCTTTAGGAATTCTAATAGATTAAGTGTTGCCTCGTTACAACCCACTTGGCTTGCTTCTTTTATAAGAGGGAATGTTTTAGGGAAGGGGAAGATGCAGGATGGTTTTTAACCCCTGTGTGCTATTCATTCATTAGACATATCATGGTTTCATTGTATTAAAACTGCCATGTAGTTCTTAGCTATCCTTAGATTTTTATTTGGAGAAATTTTGGGGTGCTAAAAATAGTTGGTATGGGATAAGCTCAGATGAAAGGGGTCATATGAATCCATCAAGACAGTCTTATCCACAGTGGGTAAAAAACCAAATCTGCTCTGCAACCTGACCCTACTTCAGAGTTTTCTCCTGTTTCTTTTCTCTATTGTTACTCTCCCAATCCTGTTCCTGCTTTCCTTGTCTAATGCACTTGATTGAATTACCATTTAGAATGTCCTTCTCCTCCAACCTCAACCACTATGGCATGACTCACGTAGCTAGTGTCAGCGATGTGCTGTTGGACAACTCATTCACTCCACCATGTCAGCGGATGGGAGGAATGGTCTCTTTTCGGACTTTCGAAGATTTTGTCAGGTAAGACACTGTGGAACTGTGTGCAAGGGGAGCCACGGGCATCTCTCTTTTGGGGTCTCCGATTTCTGCCAAATAAATAAAGGCCCCAAGAATCGCCATGAGCCAGCTAAGGAGATACAGCCTTTGCTGTATATGTCCTTGGAGAGGTATTGTTCTTCCATTTCTACCTCTTATTCAGGCTCTGCAAGCCTCTACTTGTTATATGAGCCTGGTCAGAAAAAAAGAAACAAACAAAAACCATCTTTTCCTTAGGAGCTAACAGAAGAAGCTGTCTGCTCTGTGATGAGTGAAATGTCAGGAGAAATTAAACACAACACCAGAGTGAGCCCCACCAGAGACGATACATCTTTTGATTAAATGCATTCAGCATCTATCTCTTGATGTATACTGATGCATTACCCTAGGGGGAGGGGTAATTACATTGGTCTGTCACTGCTCTAGTCCCAGGCTCTTTCTGTTACTTTAAGACCGATGATGACAGTGGTGCTCATAGCTTACACGTGGGGGGAAAAAAAAAGCTGAAGATCATTCTTTTTTTTAAAAGACAAAATATATATGGTTTATTAACGTTTAAACAATCTATCCTCCTAATTTCTGCCACTTGGTGAAATTTTGCATGTCACCTCCAGCCACTGGTGATTCTATTCAGTTGACCATTGCGCACAGAGTAGGATAGATGCTTCTTGTGGGCCGGACTGGCAATGGCAGCGTTAGTTCTCTGCCTCTTGGGTTTTCATGGTGGGTGTTCCCCTGGTATTTTTCAGGATCTTTGATGAAGTGATGGGCTGCTTCTGCGATTCCCCACCCCAAAGCCCCACATTCCCTGAGGCCGGTCACACGTCTCTGTACGATGAAGACAAGGTATAGTGTGCCCTTTGGGAAACTGCTTTGTTAGACACAGGATTTGTAGTATATGCTATCTTTCTGACTTTGGAACATTATAGGGAAGAATTCATCTTTTTACCCTACTTTATATTAATTTTATATGCCTCATCAAAGTATTTTGGGGGGCAGATGGAATATAAATTCTAACCTAAAAAAAAAAACTGTATTAATCTGTATCCGTACAGATTCTCACTACTCTCCGTAGTGAGAATAGCACATGGGCTCAGCTAGACCCATTGCAGCTGCCTCTGAGTCTCTGAATGTTGTTTTAAAGACTTGAGCCGTGGTAGCTGTAATTCTTAGCAATGGCTTGTAAGTTTGCAGAATGCTGCTATCGTAGTATTCAGGGAATTGTGGACTTTAGATAGCAGAAAGTAAGAGGCATTTTGTTTAAAACTTTGTCCTTTTATTAAATCCCTTCTTTTCATTTCTCAGTAAACAGATGATTCTGTTTTTTCCCTCTGAGGTTATTTTCCCATGGTTTGATACTTCCACTGTTTGATAAATTGTTAGGAAATATATTATGTGGGAATATGTTCAGATGGCTTCTTTCACTCATTTTGCTTCACATTCTGTGAAGAAATGTGGCAAATGATTTCATTCCCACTTTATTGGCGAAAAGTTGAGGATGCAGTGGTCTTCAAGTTCATGTCAAGTCAGGATTTGAGGCCACCTCTAGTTAATACCTTTACTGCCTTATCTTTGAAAAGCTAGGTGTTTTACTTAATTTACTCTCTGTTGTGGATGCTGGGCAATGGTTTCAATTTGCTTATTCGTACTAGTGGGCAAACCAGAATGTCCTGTGGAGTGTATCTCTTTTTCAGGTATTCTACCAAGTATTGTAACTTCTCTCTGCCTCGGTATTAGCCAGCTTCCTAAATTTCTTTGTCTGTGTTCTTGAGTTACAGGTCCCCAGGGATGAACCAATTCACATTCTGAATGTGGCTATCAAGACTGACTGTGATATTGAGGATGACGGACTGGCAGCTATGTTCAGAGAGTTTACCCAACAAAATGTAAGTCCTTGGTTGGGTGGAAACAGATGGTGGCTGCTTTCTTGCTGGTGTATCCTACCCATCCTTTTATCAGTCGCTACTTATTAGGCCTGTCACTGATAATGGCTGTGTCTTTTACATAGTTCTGCCTGTAGGGGTAAAATTCCAAAGTGATTTAATAGTACATAATGAATGTCTTATGTCAAGAAATATAGACCTCAAGTGTTCAAAATGTTTTAAGGAAAGTAAGTTGTGTTCCTAAATCTTTCCCAGAGCTCTGTCTTGAACTTCCATTCACCTGCTGAATATTTACCTTTGGTGACTTTACTCCACATGTCTAGGCCCAAACTCCCCTGAGTTTCCTTCCGTGTCCTTCCCTTGCCTCCCTTGAAAATATCAGTTACACTTCCATCCTCCTTTCAATTTTTTGTCCTTTGGATATCTTGTTGACATCAAATGTCATACTTTAAACCTAAATTTCCATCTTTTTCCTTCACCTCTATATGACTCCCCCAACCCTCCCCCCATCAAAAAAACCAAAACAAACCCAAATAACCAAACCCTTTACTCTCCTGGTCATTCAGAAATCATTGACTTCTTCCTTTCCTTGCTTGTTTATTTCTATCTGGCCAGTCACCAAGGTCTGTGAGGTTTTTCTTTGCAGTGTCTATTACCTTTTCTCAGTTTCTTAATTCTGGACTGCCATCACTCTCTTGCCTCACATCTGAGGCACGGCAACAGGCTTACTTGTGATCCACCTATATTCCCCTCGTTCTTCCCCCAGTTTCCATTCTGCCTACCCCCACAAAATTAAATGTCCAAAATGCCCCCTTATCAAGTTTTTCTCCCACTCAGCAGTGGTTCTCTCACCCTCATACGTGATGTGACATGCCTTAAATTCTGGTTTCTGTTATATAATCTACCAGCAGGTGCTCAAGGGGCCTTAATCTACTTGAGCTTGAACTTTTCCCCACGTGTACAGTAGAGTAATTCCTGACTAATCCAGGCCTATGGGATTGTGATAAGGTGCAAATGAAAAAAATTCACAAAGAAGTTCTTTATAAATAAAAAGTGTTATTACTGCTAATAAATGTATGCTGACCAATTAGAAATGCAAGGAAGAAAAGTACATTTTAGTGAGGGCTACTCAAAGAAGTCTTCATGAAAGGTAAAGTTTGAGACAGCTCTTAAAACAAGCAGGAGGAAAGGAGGGAAGGAGGGGAGGCTTGTGATGCCAGCTCTAGGGGGCTCAGATCTAGGTGCTTTAGGAAATAATACATTCTTGGTCCTGAAGTTGCTTATAGTCTAGTTGGAGGGAATGGTTAGGCATGCTCAAATAATCTGCAGTTATATTACTTTTTTTTTTTCTTTTTTAGGTTTCTAGTGATTTAATGCAGTTGTATTTCATTGTGACATGATAGATGTCAAAGCACCTCTCTTCATCTGCCCTTAATGACAAGACCCATGTGCTTTCTTTGAATGGAAAATGCCTAGCTCATAGTGCTTATTATAAAGAAAGAAGTCAGTAGATGTTTTTTAAAATTTAATTTCGCATTATAAACAATTAGTGCCATAGGCATTCACAGCATGCTAATGGTAGGTACTCAGGAAGAGACGGTCACTTTGTGCTTCACGTGAGCCTTAGCATTTAATCCATTATACTCTCACAGCACATAAACTGACTGGGAGACTGTAGTGCCCAACATGAGGAAAAGGTATTTCCAGAGAAATGAAGGTACGGGACATGCCTGAGAATTTTTCTTTAGAAATTTACCTTCCTTCTTGCCCTGGACTAGTGACTGCCTAAAATTAACCTGAGACCAGTGACCAAGGTAACCTCAGCTGGAAGAGATCTAATGTTGTGTGTGGCTGCTGACTCTGCTGCTTGATGAAATAATCTGTGGCCATTTCTTCCCAGGTTTTGAGGCATTAATTGCCTATATTTCATTGTTCTGACCTCAACTTTAGGCTTTTTATTACCCTCAGAACCAAGTCTTCTCTATCATCACACGTTGATTTAAAGAAGCAGTTTCCTTATTTTCACTATATATATTTGTAACATTAAGTGGCAATAGGAAATTGCCTTTTCCCTTTACCGAACTTACAAACCGAGGCACAGAGAAATCCAGCATCTTTGTGTATGGCTTTTTGGAAGGCTAAGGGTACACTGTGCTGACATTCTAAGCCTAGAAAAGCTATTCACTGCATCAGGTACTGTGCTTTTCTAGGAATATTTGGCATTTTCACCTCCTTGTTTTGGGGGGGAAAAACATAAAAAGGAAGGAAAAGCAATTAAAAAAAACCTGAAGTCATAACTAGTTTTGTTTTTCAGTTCTTGATCATGCTCCTAGTAGTTCAGAAAAAGTTTTTTTTTTTTAAAGCACACATTAAACTATCAAATAGGTTGATCCAAATTGTCCAAATAATCTTCTAGTCCCAGCATGTCTTTTTTTCTCTCATAGAAATTAGGATCATATATTTGTAAATGACTTGTGGAGGAGATTGAAGCAGTCAGTGTAAATGGAGTTTCTCCAGGTGCTGACGCCTAATCGCTGGGTAATAGCTGTGGACTTGCTGTGAGACCCGCATTATTACAATGTAATCAGAATCCTGTTGCTCTGCTGTTATTGTCAGCCACTTGTGGAATTTTAAAAGCAATAACAATTTTGATTTTAAATCATGGCATTATTAAAGTTATTTTCTTCCCTTGCCAGAACACAGCTATTGATGCTTGTCTTTGAAGGACTTGGCTGTAGTGGAATTCTTTGTTGGTGTTGGAAAAAAAAAAAAAAAACAAACGTTTCTGTTTCTGGGCATGCTGAAAGACAGATAACCACCACAACCCCCACTCGGCTCTGTTCTTTTAAAATAGTTTTTTTCTTATTGTAGTATCAATACTTGGTTATTTACACTAATGGGTATGATGCTAGTACAGATCATTTTAAAATGTTATTAAGCCAAAATTTATTCATGTTTGGCCTGGGGATTTATTATTAGAAAATTAATTTTTCCAGTTATCTTTTGTTTATGCTGTTAATTTTATTACTAGGCAGTGCCATAGTGGAAATGGAGAAGTAGGAGGAAAATGGCTCAGGAATGTGCTTATTTATAAGAGGAAGCTAATTTGGATGTAAAAAATTCATAGTATCATGAAAGCTAAGAATTGACTTATGAACATAGCTCTTGGTTCAGGTTATAGCAAGGGATGTGATCAAACTAAAGTCTGAATGTAGGTTGTGGAAGTCCACATATTTTTTTCTATTTGTGTTATTCGTATATTCTCTCAGGCCATTCAGATGGTGGAATTGCCTTTCTTTTTGTTGCCACATAGCCCCTCTTTGTTAGGGACCTTTAAAAGCATGTCTCTTACTTAATTTTTTTTAAATTTTATTTTATTATGTTATGTTAGTCACCATACAATACATCATTAGTTTTTGATGTAGTAATGTTCTTACTTAATTTATTAACCTGCTTCTTTGTCTCTGCTTTGGGCATAAGTGAGCTGTACAGTATAGAGGAAGGCTTAGATCTGAAGGCCCAAGGCTCATGTAAGGGTCTATCTCGAAACCGCTGGTCTCTTTTGACTCCTGATAGACTCCTTGCCTGTGCCAAGTGAAGATGTAAATAACCACTAAGTTTAAAAGCCTGTTAAACATTGCTTTACCAGTTTTTAAAGAGAATCTTTTTAAAAAATACCTTCATGTAAAGCAGGGGGGAAATGTTTTAGAAGAACTGAAAAGGTCAGGACTTAGTTGAATTCTAGGAATGCAGTATCTGATGATAGGTAATATCTGTAAATAACAGTGTAGCACCTGAATTTTCTGTTTTATGGAAATTTCTTCTTTTCCCTCTACCTGATTACATTTAGCTTCTGTATCAGTATTAATTTTCACAGTTGAATACAGGCCCACCAGGTGTGATTTTATGAGCAGAAATTGTGTTAAGGTTCACCTTGATGTAAATCAGTCCTTGGAGAATTTAGGTGACTTCGTATGATGCTTCCCTACAAAGTTCTCCTTCAGTTTTGTCCAGGTCAATATATGAAACCTAGTCCACCGGAGCCAGGTTGAGATTTATTTGCAAGTTGAAGGTACTGAGGCAAGATGTGGAGATCCAAAAAGGGTGCTTGCCCGATCAGAGCTTTATGAAGACCAAATGGGGTAAAATTGAAGATGAAAAGAGATCTCATCTGTTTTCTGTTTTACATGTTTGTTTGTAGAAAGCTACCCTGGTTGAGCATGGGATACGGCGCCTTACTTTCCTGGTTGCACAAAAGGTACTGGCCTGTGAATGATCCCTCCCCAACGTGTCTCACGCCGCTGCTAGAACTTCTAAAAATAAAACACGGGATTATAATCATATACTTACTTGTAGAACCCGTGCAAATAAATAATTCTATAAATTTAATCAAGAAAAAAACATTAATTTAACTCATTGCCTTTTACTTAATTCATTTTTAATTCTATTACTGATGGCCAGCTTCTGTTTTTCCTTCTTTTCTGTCGTTCATTTGAAAGGATTTCAGGAAACAGGTCAACTGTGAGGTGGATCAGAGATTTCATGTAAGTAGAAGGAACCACAATGAAAGATTATTTACTGTTTTATCTGTTTGCCACTGATTATTTAAATATATAGAATATGTGTGAGTTATTTAAAAGGGCTGAACTGATGTTTGGTTCTTCTTTTAGAATGTGTTAAAATGAATCTTCCACTTCTGTAAGAGTGTGCAAGCTGGTGGTGTTTTTTTTTTTAACCCTATAATGAATTCTCAGTATCACTCTGAGAAGTAGTTAAGGATGAACATATGTGTTTATCCAGATGACTAAGGAAGAAGCAGGAACTAACTAGTAATTTCTTCTGTGTACTTAGTGAATAAGGGACTCAGTAATCAAGAACTGCCGGCTGAGGGGTGCCTGGGTGGCGCAGTCGGTTAGGCGTCCGACTCTTGGTTTTGGCTCAGGTGGTGATCTCAGGATCCTGAAGTCAAGCCCCTTGTCAGGCTCTGAGCTCAGCACGGAGTCTGCCTGGGTCTCTGTCTCCCCCTGCACCTCCCCTCTGCTCTCGCATGCTCTCCCTCTCTCTCCCTAAAATAAATAAATAAATCTTTAAAACAAAACAAAACAAAAAAACAACTGCTGATTGTATTTTGGGGTCTTGGCTTCTACCAAAGTTGGATTCAAGTTCTATTCTTGAGAATTCTCAATTCTGAAATGAGAAACAGTCATTTATTATTTAAAATATTTTAACAGAATCCAAGTTGGTATTTTTCTTGTGTTAATTCTAGGAACAGGAAATAAATAAAATTTTTAAGCATTAAATTGCTTGTTCTCCCGTTTAACTGAGTTACCTATTAATATTTATGGAATTAACAATTTTGTTGAAAAGAGAACTAAGTTAATAGCCTGGCATCTAAACTATGGTATATCCATGACCATACCTAGTATGATAGCCATAAGGTCAAAAATCCAGTTTACAATCAGGATGTCATTTTCTAAAATGACTGATTATAGTCAACATATTTCTTTAAAAATTGACCTAATGCAACTGAGTAAAATTCCAGAAGATATTAGGTTGGAAGTCTTAATTTTCCTGATAAGAATTTTGTTTTGTTTTGCTTTAACAATTAAGATAATTAAGTCAGTTTTCAAGCACTGCTCATTTGCAATAATGAAGATAGCTTTTGGGATTCTGGAAAGGACTTTCTAAATTCAAGAACCTATGTGTGATTGCTTTTATTGCTCTTTGTTTATTAGGTCTGTAGTACTTGACATATTGTTTTCCTTCTCACAGTTCACCTTGTTGGTCTAGTCTATAGAGAAACAAGAAACACTATCCTACAAGCTAAAGAGCTAAGATTTTCTGGAATGCTTTAGGAAATGTTGTGGACTGCACAACTTCCCTGTGTTATTGATGTCAGGAAATCAAGGGAGTGCAGATATATATCAATCAATAACTTTAGATAGGAAACTAGAGGCAGTGGAGAAGTATGAGGAGCTTAAAGAGAACCCTGGGGCTTTAGGAAGAAAAATCAGGAGCTTAGAGTATAAAATTGATTCTTGGGATAGAATATGGGAGCCCATGAATAAATAGTATGGCTGGTAAATGCTGATCAGAACTAAGGTAGACATGCCAGACTGAGACCTGGGTTTGGAAGAGTATTGGGCTAGGTTCTATTTTTTTTTTTTTAAGATTTTATTTATTTATTTGACAGAGAGAGAGCACAAGCAGGGGGAGCTGCAGGGAGAGGGAGAAGCAGGCTCCCCGCTGAGCAAGGAGCCCTGTGTGGGGCTCAATCTCAGGACTCTAGGATCATGACCTGAGCCAAAGGCAGATGCTTAACTGACTGAGCCACCCAGGCGCCCCTGGGCTAGGTTCTTAAGTCTTAATGTGATATTTCATTTCTCACTGACTTTGGAGTAATATAATATTCTGGGAAATAATAGTGAACTTGTAAAGTTATTTTCTTTTCCCTAATAGTTCAGATGGAGTCTTCATGTCTATAGCACAGAACTGGTTTCCTATAATAAGCAGTCCGTGATAAATTAAAACCCTCCACTAAAACTTCTAAAAAGCCAAAGTGATTAATTCTCACGGGCATTATTTTTCTTTTGTACTTTCTTACCTCTGAATCTATGTCATGTCATAGAGTGTATCTACAGCTTTAAAACGTTGTTGTTGTTTTTTTTCTCTCTGCTATCCAGTAGGTTAAATAGGGACTTATATAGGCAAAATCTTCTAGGAAATGAGCCCAGTAGCTGGTGTTCCCCAGCAGTCATTGTCCGGTTCCTATTTATAGTGGCATCAAGTGGGAAATCTGTTAAATTATCAAGTGTCTTGTCACGAGTGTAGGAAAGGTTGCTTTAGGACGTAGAGAACATTAAGGTTTAGGTGTGGACTGGATTTTCTCTGAAGAATTGAATGGCAGAGGAGTTGGGGTGCTTTTATGTTAGGCTCCTTAGAAATGATTAGTGGTTATGCAGGGGGCAAGGCCAACTATTACTGAGCTCCGTCCAGGATCCACAATAGCCAGCAAGCCTTGGCAGGAGTCGTACAAATCCAGGGCTCACTCTCATGGTACTGCTGTGAGTTCCTCTGCTGGTAGTAGCTTGCCATTCATGAAGGATGCTTAGCCTTTGTCATGTCATTTGATGTGTGCTTGCCCCATAGTTAGTGTAGTGTGAAAAAGAGGAAGCTTTCTGGGAGTGTTAGAGATGAATCCCTTGATCTCTCTGGCTTCTTGGTAATCCACTGTGATGTATGCAGCCTCCCCTGTTCTACACTGTGAAATCCCTATATTATTGAATAGAAGAGAGAACGCGCACATGAGAGGGCAAGGAGAGGAGGAAGGTTACCAAGTACAGCACTGGCTGGTGTGGAATGAGGCCGCTAAGCTGTTGCATGGCCCTCTGGCTGCTTCAGAACCAGAACCAGCCCATGAGTGAGACAGAGGAGAGATTCCTAGAGAGCATGTATATTGTTAGGTCCTTCTTCAGATGCCAGTGAAAACTTCCTTGTCTAATCGCCACAGTCCTCCAAGAGCTGAGCACTGGAATGTCTGCTGCTGCCTTTAGTCTCTTGGAGACTCTCTTAGAACCCGGAGCCTGTCCTTCCAGGCTGGCCCTATCCACCAGCAGTAAGGAGGCTGTCTCCAGGCTGTTTCCATGGCCGTCTAATTAAATCAGGTGCCCAAAACAGGACCCGAATAACTGCTTAACATGGATATTTACACAAAGTTTGAGGCCAACCCATCCTTGTAAATATCTCCTCCATATTAAAAAAAAAAAAAATTGAAGCTTTGAAAGCAAAAGAACAGGGTCTTTGAGTTTCTGTAGCTGAATAAGCTGTCCAGTTTTATGTAGTATTTAAGTCTCTTAGTTTCACTCACATTTCAGATCTACAATTCCAGAAAGTGCAGCAGAAGGTGCTGTTTGATTGGGATGTATTATGCTTTTTGAAGCTTTCCATATTTTTTTTCTCAGTGCAGTTTTGTTAAGGGTACTAAAATGCAAATTTTCAGCATTTCTTCTGATCCTTGCAACCTAAACAAAAGCATTAGGTCCAAACATGGTGATAAGATTCTAAAATCAGTTTTTCATCTAAGTTTCCTTTTGCTTCTTGTTTGAAAGGATTTATGAGATTTAAAAAATTCTGCTATTAGTCACCTAGGAGATAGTTGTAGTTTTACCAGTTTTGTAGAAGTGATTCCCACTTTAAAATGGTTTGGATTATTTGGGCCTGAAGGAAGAACCCACTATCAAAAATAGTTATCATGGTTAGTAGTTCATTTCTTTAAAAAAAATTGGTATGTCAATTATATCTCAATAAAGCTGGGAAAAAATCGGTAGTTTTGTTTGCTAGTGGATCAACTATTAGTTTTTCAGAAGGTTTGGTTTGGGGTTTTGTTTTAATTACAGTCTATATAATTAGTTCTCAGCATGTTGAGGTAAAAGAGAATTGCACCAGCAAATTTCCAATTTCTTCATCTCATTAGGTTTTTAACACGATTATTAGTATCATAATCAGCTATGATGTTTTCTGTTGCAGGTTTTCACATTCTCTGATTTGCAGGGTGTCTTGATTGGCTAATTTAGGCAAATTATTTTGATTGTCTTGATGATGGTTGGCTGATTTGAACACAGCAGGGGTATAATTTCTTCCTGAGAAATGTTGCATTCTTTTGGTTTTTGGTACCAGAACACTAAGAAGATTTTTCTTTGTGTACATTCAATTATGATATTTACCCATAACACTAGTAGAATGCCTGGAAAGCAATTACATTAGTGATGGAATAAGCATGAATGCTGTTAGTGCAAAAATTGGAAGTTTCAGGATGAGGTAGGGTGAAGGAATTTACTACAACTATAGGTCCAGACTTCTGCATTTCTTCTTCTCTGTGTTTCTGTGATTTTTTTGAGCACCGAAAGAGGTGACTTGCTATAAAAGTCTTCAGAACTTGTATAGTTTTCCAAGGATCGCTCAGTAATCCTGGTTTCTCATCGCACAGAACTTCTGGCCATCTCCTGTTCTGAATGCTTCACACTTAAATTGAGGACCTCACTGTGGAACTAAAAAATTTGCTCAAAAGTTTAAAAAGAAAAAAGTTTGCCTGTATCATCTCATAACACTTTTTCTTAACGAAAGTGGTTTTTTTATTTTGGTAGTCTTTGCCCATCTCTGTCAAGAATTAGTCAGCCTCTTTCATTATTTGTTGTAAATTTGTTCCATTCAGACTGTTTGCTTCCCATGCCTTTCAGTTACTACAAATTTTCTTAATTGGCTGAGTAGTAAAGACAGTGTTTTTTGGTTACTATTGTGATGTTTTTTGTTTTTGTTTTTGTTTTTGTTTTTGTTTTAAAGATTTTATTTATTTATTCATGAGAGACAGAGAGAGAGAGGCAGAGGGAGAAGCAGGCTCCCAAGGAGCAGAGAGCCCGATGCGGGACTCGATCCCAGGACCCTGGGATCATGACCTGAGCCGAAGGCAGACGCTTAACCATCTGAGCCACCCAGGCGCCCTATTGTGATGTTTTTGAAGAAAAATGATTTTGATCCTGCATATATACACACTTGAATAAATGGTACACTAAATAAATATTTTAATTAATAGTTCTGGCAGAATAGGGTGTATGCTTAAGAGACTTTATTATGATTTTCCTTGCCTCTTCTTTCAGAAAATTTCATGGGAGGATTTTATTACCTTTCCTTTTTTTGACCTGTGTTGCTTTTTTAGCTAATGCTCTGAAAGCCATACCTCTCAAGAATAAAACCAAAACTAGGCTATATAAAGCCATGAGCATGAAATCTACTGACAACTCAGCTGAACATCTTCCTGCTTAACCTTGAAGTCATCCCCATGTTCTTCACTATCATTCAGGGGAATTATTTAGAACAAAACATCATCAGTAAAAGATCAGTGCTGTGTAAAACCCACTTTCAAAGGGCTTTTAAAGACCCGAGCCTGGACAGGGGATTTCCTGGGCTTGCTAAACAAGCTCCTAAAAGCCTGTTAAATGCAGTTTTACAGTCAAAATGCCAAGGAAATATAAAATGATTTATTAACTGTGTAAGCTTTAGTTAAGGTATGAGGTGTAAATACCTGTGGAAAGTATTCAAGCTCTCAGTAAATTCAAGAACCACAAGTTTTCAGCAGGAGTTTTGCTTTGTTTTTTTCCTTTAAAGCCTTAATTTCTGTTTTTTATCTCATCAAGAAGTCGTCTAAATAAGGAATTTGGATTATGACAAGAGTAGAAAGGTAGGGCCCTACCCTTGAGAGAGAGTGGTAGAAATGAAAGGGTGTGGGCTCTGGCAACAGAGACTCAAGTTCACGTTCTGGTTCTATGATCCTGGGCATATCACTTGGCCCCGGCTTCCTCAGCTGTAAAATGGGTCATCATATATACCTGAGAGGTTGTTGAGAGCGCTTGTTCAATGGAACAGCACATAAGAGCGCCTGCCACCTAGAAGGCTTTCGGTTCATGTTTCCTTCATGCTTCCTGAAGCTCATTGAGGGATATTTAGGCAGCTAGCTAGTCCTGGTCTCTCTGCCTTGTACCAATAAGTGTTTGATTATATTGCACTCATAATGAAGAAGGTACCTGATGAAATCTCCTCTAGAGGCCGATAGTAATGACTTGATTCCAACACTGCTAGTAGAGCCTCTCATCCGAGAAACAGGGGTATTTGGTGTTAATAAGTTAAATTTCAGAAACTAATGGACTCTGCTAATTGAATTCATCTTTGTTAATTAATAAGGTTCTAGGAAATTGGTTGCTTTGTTGTGTAATGCCCTGCAAAAGAGCAGTAAGACCTAATGACTACAAGTTCCCTAGTTCCGTCCCATTCTCTCCTATACATAGAGTGGTAGTGACCAAAGTAACATCTTATACTTTTCTTTGTCTTGAAATATTATTGTTTAAACCCTTGGAATTATTGACTTGAGAGGGAATGTGGACAAAAACATGGATTGGGGATCCTGTGCTATCTGGCTGGTTTACATTTTAAGTTTCTTAAGGAGAAACTTGGGAAATCAGTCCAGTGACTACTTTTGCAATGCTGCAGCGTAAGGGTATATTAGTTTTATTTGCCAGGTTGTGCCAAAAGCAACACCTGGGAAGATTTTTTTTTCACTTGGGAGATGAAAAAAATACTAATTTTTTTTTCCTAGGAGAGGGTAGCTATTAAAGTTAGGATAATAGTGTGGTGATTTCATATTTGGAAGTGGGGTCAAAGTGGTAGCTACCCAGAGGATCATTCATATTCCCCAGGCTAAGCTTAGGTAAGGAGCATGTTTTCTAGGAACTGCCTTCTAGATGCTTCACTGTTTCTATACTTACGATGTGTTTATCCCCAAAGAGCCATATCTGTGAAAGACTGACACGTTTTCCCCTTCTTTAACACAGAGAGAATTTCCTAAATTTTTCACCTTCCGAGCAAGGGATAAGGTAAGGACTGATTCCTTCCCACTTTTTTTTTTTAATCTTCATTTTGTTCTTAAAAACCCAAGAACGGCTTATTTTTGCCATGTGCTCTTCTTGCCATTCTCCTTTCTCTGACTGAACTTGTGCTTCCCTTTGCCTTACATGTGTCTTGGAACTAAAGAAGACTCCTTTCTGAAGGAATTTGGTTTAGGAAACAATCAAATGTATCCGGAGAAAGCGATAACTTTCACAGTTCTCCCTGCTCTTTAGGATGATCCTAATGATATAATATTAAAGGACTACTATACTTAGTAGTAGTATTCTTGTCACCCACAGACAGTTCATTTATACCCAAGTCTTGTTTATGTGCATTTTTTTTTCATTTTTGAAATACAGAATTTCAGACCATGTTGGTTTCTTCCTGTTACCGGCTTTGACTCTCCCTCTCCATTCACTCAGTTGACATGTGCTCTGGAAGAACGATTTTATTTCAACAAAACATGCAGTAAATGTAAACATAACTTTTTAAAAAGATACATAAATAGTTATATATCTATAGGGATGGAGAATATTCCAAAGCCAAATACTTTTATTTTTAAAAAGTATATGATGTTTATTTGTTGAGTATTTCCTGTGTCATTGATACTGTGCCAGAAATAAGAATATAAAACCAGGCCCTGCCTGTACACATTTTAGTTGGGTAAACCCAAAACACTGGTATGTGAAGTAGATATTAATATGAAGCAATCTGTGGTTAATTATCAAAAATGAATTGTATAGACAGTAATGCAGTGAGAGTTCTGAGGGAATTGGTGTTTTTGTTTGCTTGTTTTTAATGGTGAACATCACCACTTGTAAAAGCATAAATGATGAAAGCTTGGGAAGTAAATAGGCACTTCAGTCCCTAATCTTATGTGAGCTATAGCATTACCCTTGTATGTAGCTCATTTTTTGTTGCTTATTTGCACATCATCACTTATGTTTCTGTTTTCAAGCATCTCTTTTTACGTACATGTTCTTCATAATGTAATTTTGTAACTGCCTCTTGTGGACTCTTTTGTTCTCCACTTTTGTGCTCAGTTTGAGGAGGATCGTATCTATCGTCACCTGGAGCCTGCCCTAGCTTTCCAGTTAGAGCTGAACCGGATGAGAAATTTTGACCTTACTGCCATTCCATGTGCTAATCATAAGATGCACCTGTATCTTGGGGCAGCCAAGGTGGAAGTGGGCACGGAAGTGACAGACTACAGGTTCTTCGTTCGTGCAATCATCAGACATTCTGATCTAGTCACCAAGGTGGGTACTGTACTTTGGTGGGAAGTCATCCCTGAGGGAAGGGGCAGAGAAGCAGGCGTTGTTGAAAATCAGGTTTTCATTTTTTGAATCAAGACTCTTATTCTCATTCTTCCCACTCTCCCGTATCCGGCAGAAGTCTGAGAGTGCTTTCTCTCACAGAAATAAATATTCCATATTATAAAGGGCTTTAAAAAAATTTTTTTTTCTTGGTAGTGGGGAAGAAGCATGAAAGCACTCACTTGAGAGAAGCAAAAGCGTCTTAATGGAAAGATCACAGGGAGAGTTAGGTGATGATAGAAGATAAAGAGAAAAGTTAGAGATGGCCCCATTGTAAGCCCATCTAGACATAGGGTAGTTTCTGTGTACAGCAAGGCACTTCCTGGCGCGTTAATTACTGCATCCCATAGCTATACCGTTTTCAGCTTTTACTTTCCAAACAGATTTACTTTCTAAACTGCTCTGTTTGCCATACCTGAAAAGTAATCCTATTGGAGGTATAGCTTTGGGGATGCCCAGCATAGCATGTCCACCTGTTGGAAGGAAATGGCTTGCTAGGAGGCAGGAGGAAGGGCTGCAGGAACTCTTTATCTGACCCTTGCCTGCCGCTGCCACCTACAGTCATTGAGCCGACTCTAGGGAGAAAGGTAACATCAGCAGGTGCTTTATGATTCATGACATACTACTACTCAAGTTATTATAATTTTCCAGTTCTTTATTGACTCTTCTAAAACACACTAATGTTGGTGGTGATTTTCTTCTTGCATAGGAAGCTTCTTTTGAATATCTACAAAATGAAGGGGAGAGGCTGCTCCTAGAAGCCATGGATGAGTTGGAAGTCGCTTTTAACAATACAAATGTTCGCACTGACTGCAACCACATCTTCCTCAACTTTGTGCCCACGGTCATCATGGACCCATCAAAGGTACATTTCTCCTTAGCTTCTCTTCCAGCACTACCAAACACAAGCAGAGAGATTCATCCATATTTATTCTCACTTGGACCTGGGAACAGGTACTCTTGGCCAGCTAGTTGAGCCCTTGATCTTTAAAGTTTACGGAATGCTTGTGAGACAGGGTTTCCAGGAGGGTGTCAGAAATTCAATATAGCCACTGAGAGCAGACATCAAAATAGAAGGTGGTATGATGTTATCTTTTTTTTTTTTTTTTTTAATTTTTTTTTTTATTCTTATGTTAATCCCCATACATTACATCATTAGTTCTAGATGAAGTGTTCCATGATTCATTGTTCGTGCACAACACCCAGTGCTCCATGCAGAACGTGCCCTCCTCAATACCCACCACCAGGCCAACCCATCCTCCCACCCCCCTCCCCTCTAGAACCCTCAGTTTGTTTTTCAGAGTCCATCTTCTCTCATGGTTCGTCCACCCCTCCGATTTCCCCCGCTTCATTCCTCCCCTCCCGCTACCTTCTTCTTCTTCTTTTTTTTTCTTAACATATCTTGCATTATTTGTCTCAGAGGTACAGATCTGAGACTCAACAGTCCTGCACAATTCACAGCGCTTAACAGAGCACGTACCCTCCCCAGTGTCTATCACCCAGTCACCCCATCCCTCCCACCCCACCCCCCACTCCAACAACACTCAGTTTGTTTCCTGCAATTAAGAATTCCTCATATCAATGAGGGTATGATGTTATCTTGCTGGTCATTTATAAGCAGTACAAAAACATAAATTTCTTTCTGTTATTCCATGATATTTGTTATCATAGTGGTCCTGTTTTTATATGATTCCCTAGGATTTCTCATCTGGAATAACTTTGCTATTATTGGGCCTTTTGGCAAAATTGCTGCTGCTTTGCCCTAACTGTTACTTACCTGGTGGCCTTAGGGAGACAATACGCCTTCACAGAGTGTCTAACCTGTTTCTCTCCGGTATTTTTCCACAGGGAGAGAATTTGTTTGATGAGGAATTTTCACATGTATTATGTATGTTTTCTATCCTGAGGTTCTCTTCTAAAATTCATTCCATATAATTTAAGGAAGGAAAACAGGGTGATTCTGCACTTGACCTTTTATCCCAGGTGTAATAAAGACCGGCTGCTCTCTGTATTCCCTCTAACCTTTTTCTACCGTGGTATTGTGGAATTTCGTTAGGAGAACCAGTATTCCCCCTTCTCAAGATCAGTTGTAGGCATGGACTTTTGCTTTTTTGAACTTAATTTCTAAGATCTGAAAAGTCACTTTCTGCTTTTTTTTCTTCAAGACTCCAAATGACTGATAGGTTGCTTTACTCTGTCAGGAAAACCAAGGACCACTCCCTGAGTATCAGGTCTCATCATCTAGTTTAACTAAAGGTTCTCTTAAGCATTCTGGGACTGATGAGGCTGGAATACTGAAAATGGAAACCATATAACTATATATATTATATATAACTATATAACCATATATATTTTTAGGTTTCACTTAACCATTTCTCAGTGAGTTGTTTAATATCTGCCTCTCTGCCTCCGCTCTAAATACCCATACACCCTAGCTATGCCTTTCCAGTCATAGGAGCTGTCAGTTTCCCATATGTAGAGATTGTTGACTTTTGTTCCCTCACAAAAAGAACAGATAGATACCTCTTGGTTAACAAGCAAGTGTGGGACTAGAGAAGTCAACTCCTTGAAATCCATTCTAATCTAAGATTCTGTGGTGCAAAAACAGACTGCAGGGGTGGCACATACTTCAGAAGAACTGTAAGAGAAGGGTGATAGAAGATATTTTTGATATTTTCTAAGTTGAGAAAGCATTTTAGATACTTCATTTAAGAAGACGTTAATTTTGAGTAGTATGTCCTAGCTGCCTACAGCCATATTGGGAAAACAAAATTTCACTTTAGAATGTCAGTAAGGAAAAATCCCATCTAAGGCCATTTGGTTAAAATAACTTGCCTAAACCTGAAAACTAGGAGTGCTAAGCTGCCTTGGTATAAGCCTTAGAGAAACTATGGAACAACCGCCTCATCTACTTAAATCCCAGTTGGACTTGGCAATGACCAAGCTTCAGAGCCCTGTTTAGAGAGAACATTCTAGCCCCACCTACGAATTGCCTCTCTTTAATTTGTGCAGTTTACCAAGAGGCATGATATAAAGTTTAATAAAATTGTATAGGAAAAAACTCATGGTGGTAATTGCTATGATGATTTAAGGTCCTGTAAGTGCAATGAAACATAGCTACCATGCATATAAATGCTACTTAATAGCTATTTAACTAGAGATTTTATTCTTATTTGGGGCTTTCTCTTAAATCCCATGGCTTGTAATTTTAGATATTGCAGATATTCGATATAGAATATGAATATCATTGGGAAAGGGTTAGGGAGTTGCATAGATTAGGGTGTTGTGAGCCAGAGAACCCTACTCAAATGCAGGCTGGCATGAAATTGTCCCTGATTTGTTCTAAGCGAGAGTAGGGTTGGGGAGAAATTATCTTACTTTTTATAAAGAATACATGTAGTGCCCATCTCCAGAAACCAGCACCTTTTTCCATTCCTTCTTTCCCAAAGATGGGCAGACCTGAAAACAGGTTCTAGTTACAAGGTGTTTAAGTTTTGTGCTTGGTGATGTGTCTGTGACAGATTGAGGAATCTGTGCGGAGCATGGTAATGCGCTATGGAAGTCGGCTGTGGAAATTACGTGTCCTCCAGGCAGAACTGAAAATCAACATTCGCCTGACACCAACTGGAAAAGCAATTCCCATCCGCCTCTTCCTGACAAACGAGTCTGGCTATTACTTGGACATCAGCTTGTACAAGGAAGTGACTGACTCCAGGACAGCACAGGTACAGCGGTCAAGCAGGCTCCTCAGAGTTTTGATTTGGTCCTAAAGATGAGCTACTTGTCCTTGTTAGGGAAGACCCAAACTCACAAGTCCCATTACTTCACGTAGTGGAGTTATCCTCTGTCAGCTTAAATGGTCACATGAATTTGAAAAACTTCATTTGCCTTATAAGATGTGCGTGTGTTCTTAATCATGGTGTTATGAAACCCTCAATCTTTTGTGACATACTGATGAGCCCTAACAGATGCCAGATGAACCTGACTCCCGAGATAATTCTGCAGTTTTGGGTTCTTTTTTAGAGGGCTCTTGAGCTACCTGAACTACCTTGTCTTGTCTGGTCTGATCTGTCCTTCTTCCTGTTTTCAGCCTAGATAGTCTATTCATTGGCAAGTAAAGAAAAGAGAATTGTTGAAGTATGTCACCAACTTTGATTTTAAAGAAGGAAAATTTCAGTGTAATATAATAGCTTGAACAATGTCAAGCAGTGACTTTATCATATTTACCCATGATGTTATTCACATTTACACACGTTATTTTTCCTTCAGAGAGCTTAGAGTATTATATTTCTATAAAAGAGCAAAGTAGCGAACTTTAACCCCCTTTTCAGGTAGAAAAATCAAGAATGTGAAAATGGAAGATGACTCTTTCAGTAGATTGATTCTGTCATAACAGAAAATTCCTTTTAATCTATGTTACCACCTTCATTTCTAAGTATTTGTGCCATTTGTTATGATACTGGATTTAGGTTGGTTTGCCATGGCTCACATATTCTTAAGAACTGGGTTGTTATTTTAGGTTTTTGTCCTGAATTTGGGAAGTGCATTTCTTCTGGTTAAAGGATGACCTTGCTCCAGTATGTGTACACAAAGATCTCAGTTTGTTCTATGCATTGGGTACCAGGAAGAGATTATATGTCTCTCGTTTTTATCTATGTCCTTTTAAATCCAGGAATAGAGGCAAGAGAAGACATTTTTGCCAGTATTTTGAAGATGAATTTTAAAAATCTGAGTTTGGATAGTTGTCAGAGTGACCTTTCATTTTGTGCTTTGATTCCTAGTTAGATGGCCAGAGAAATCTATCCAGTGAGAAGTGAACAGTTAAAACAGAGAGAGAGTGAGCACAAGAGCACAAGGGGTGAGCAAGAGAAAGGGTATACAATAATTTTTGCTGCATTTGATGTTTTTCAGGACAACCTTAAAGACATTTTCAGTCAAAGCTTTCCATGGTCAGGGATATTTTTAATTAACTTCTACAGTGGCTTCAAGGCAGGTCTATTCTTGTGAAAAATAAGATGGCCACTTGAGATTTTAATGTTTTTGATAAATACGTTTGTTCTTCCTAAGGACGTTTTTTTTCTTTTTTTTATTAGAAAGCTCTTAGATTTCCCTCATTCTGGCCAGTGGTGGCACAGGGGCATGAAAGGCTCAGATGCCTTCAGTCAGGATTTAGTACTATGCCTGGCACAAAATAAGCACTCAGTAAGTATCTGAAAGAATGAATGAGCTACTGTTAAGCGCTGTGAATTGTGCAGGACTGTTGAGTCTCAGATCTGTACCTCTGAGACAAATAATGCAAGATATGTTAAGAAAAAAAAAGAAGAAGAAGGTAGCGGGAGGGGAGGAATGAAGCGGGGGAAATCGGAGGGGTGGACGAACCATGAGAGAAGATGGACTCTGAAAAACAAACTGAGGGTTCTAGAGGGGAGGGGAGTGGGAGGATGGGTTGGCCTGGTGGTGGGTATTGAGGAGGGCACGTTCTGCATGGAGCACTGGGTGTTGTGCACGAACAATGAATCATGGAACACTTCATCTAGAACTAATGATGTAATGTATGGGGATTAACATAAGAATAAAAAAAAAAAAAAGAATGAATGAGCTACCTTTTGCCTGAGGGAAAACCCCTATTACCTTGGGTCCTGCATATTTAGGAAGCCCTGAAAGAAGAGGTCTCCCTCAGGCTCTTCAGTGGAGAGAGTTCAGCGGCCACTGCTGAATGTAAACCCAGGAGCCCAAAAGCCCCTGGCTAGAGGAGGGAACCATCAAAAGAACAGCCTTCAGCTCTTCTCTGGTGCTCTTAATGTCTACCTGATGCTTATTGCCAATTTATTTTTTCCTTGTCTTTGTTCTAGTAAGTCATAATGGTAAATTTAAAATAATGTAGAACCCTGTGTATCATTCATTCATTTGTTCATCGATGTAACATCGATTGACCACCTATAGTGTGTCAGGCACTATGGATTCAAAGATAAAAAGTAATCTCTATTCTTGAGAAATTTACATCGGGGGGAAGAAGACAGATAATTAGTTTCTCAGTAGTATGATTATGATTTGTGCTATAATAAAATAATAGTGGTGAAAGGTGTATGATATATATAATACATACATGTTTTCATGAACTTGTAAAACATACACTTTACCCATTTTTATTTATTTATTTATTTATTTTTATTTATTTATTTTTTTTAAAGATTTTACTCATTTATTTAACAGAGAGAGACACAGCGAGAGAGGGAACAGAAGCAGGGGGAGTGGGAGAGTGAGAAGCAGGCTTCCCGCGGAGCAGGGAGCCCGATGCGGGGCTCGATCCCAGGACCCTGGGATCATGACCTGAGCCGAAGGCAGACGCTTAACGACTGAGCCACCCAGGCGCCCCCACTTTACCCATTTTTAACTCCTATGTCCATTATAGTACAAAAATGGAATTATTGTAGGTAGCCGATCATTCAGTAGTATCCATTACCATCAGCCTCTTGCTCAGCACTTCATTTATTCTTTCTGACAACAAGAAGCAAGGTTGAGGGGCGCCTGGATGGCTCAGTCATTAAGCGTCTGCCTTCGGCTCAGGTCATGATCCCAGGGTCCTGGGATCGAGCCCCACATTGGGCTCCCTGCTCCGCGGGAAGCCTGCTTCTCCCTCTCCCACTCCCCCTGCTTGTGTTCCCTCTCTCACTGTGTCTCTCTCTGTCAAATAAATAAATAAAATCTTAAAATAAACAAAAAAACAAGAAGAAGCAAGGTTGACTGGCTTGAGCTTCATTTCGTTTCATTTTCCTGGTAAAGTCTTTGTGTTATTAGCTGTAATGAACACTGATGTCAGCCAGTCATAGTGGGGAGAAGAGATTTGGGTAATCCATTGCATATGTCAATTGATTTCCAATGTGTAGTGTAAGGGAGAAACTATACATTTTAAATGACCTTTATTGAGATACAATGTACATATAAAATGCAGTTATTTTATGTATATACTTGGGTTCATTCTGAAATTGTATACACCTGTATAACCATCATCACAGTCATGATAGAGAACATCTTGACACCCCTAAAAGGTCTCTTATTTTCTTTTGCTGTCAAAGGTAGAGTCCCACCAGCCCCAGCCTTAGGCAACCACTCATCTGCTTTCTATTATTACAGATTAGTTTTGCCTGTCCTAGAATTTCATATATATGAAATTAGACACTATGTACAATGTTGTATCTGGCTTCTTTTGCTCAGTATAATAATATTTTTGAGATTATTCTATGTTGTATAGACAATGGGTATGTTCCTCTTCATTGCTGACTGGTATTCTGTTTTATGGATATACCAAAAAAATTTTTTTAAAGATTTATTTATTTATTATTTTAGAGAGTATGCAAGTGAGCAGGGGGAGGGGCAAAGGGAGAGAGAGAATCTCAAGCAGACTCCCCGCTATGCGTGGAGCCTGATGCGGGACTCGATCCCATGACCCTGAGATTATGACCTGAGCCAGAATCAAGAGTTGGACACTTAACGGAGTGAGCCACCCAGGCACCCCTGGATGTACCAAAATTTGTATATTCATTCACCTTTTGATGGACATTTGAAGTTTTATTTTCCAGTTTGGGCTATTATGAATAAAGCTGCCATATGAACATTCATTTATAAGTCTTTATGTAGATATGTTTTCATTTCTCTTGGGTAAATATATAAGAGTGTAATTACTGGGTCACAGTAAGTGTATTTTTTTTTTTTTTTAAAGATTTTATTTATTTATTTATTTGACAGAGACACAGCAAGAGAGGGAACACAAGCAGGGGGAGTGGGAGAGGGAGAAGCAGGCTTCCCGTAGAGCAGGAAGTCCGATATGGAGCTCGATCCCAGGACCCTGGGATTGTGACCTGAGCCGAAGGCAAATGCTTAACGACTGAGCCACCCAGGCGCCCAGTGTATGTTTAATTTTATAAGAAACTGCTAAACTGTGCGAAAGTAGTCATACCATTTTAAATTCCCACCAGCAGTGAGTCTACCTAGAGGGCTTTCTCCAGTCCCCTTTCTCAGTCCACATAATTATGTTGCTTAACTAATGACCAGCCTGCCTTCATTCCACCTTGGCAAAAGTGAGTCTCAAACTCTGTACCCACAGCTCTGGTCTTTCCTAATAGACAGGAATGTAGTCCCAAGAACCTGCTGCTTTTACTCCTTTTTCTTATTTTGATTCAGTTTATCTCCTCTGAGTCCAGTTTTCTCATTCTAACACCCTGACCTCACTTAACACTTTGAATTTCTTAAAACATTACCATTTCTACCTAAGATATTGCTAATTCTACCTCCTACCCAGTGACTTTGACCATTAGTCATGTGGAATAGGACTGGAAGCTCCCTTCTTTGGGGTTGTAAGCCTCACAAGACAGTTTTTGCCCACTGTAGGACCTGACTGAGAAATCAGTAGAACATATTTGTTCCTCTGAGGTTAGGAGGCTAAGGATTCACTTAGCTAAATGGTGTCCAGAGTTTGGGAAAGTACTTAATTCTGTTGTTAAGCCTATATATCAGGTTCACAAATCTATTCCTTAATGGTAGACTTAAGCTTATTTATTTTAGACCAGAACAGATATGTGGCTGTATACACATACCCTTATTTCCCACATTTGTATTCACTGTGTTGGGAATCTATATTTTATGTATTCATGCATAAAGTGCCTAGTTTAGTGTCATACAACCTCTGGGCACTCAATAAATATTAACTAAACTGAAGTAATGGCATCCCTTATAAATATTCATAAGCAAATAAAACTAAGTATATGGAGTATGAAGTACTCTTCTCGAAAATGTTTGGGTTAAAATGATTAAAAACTGGTGTGGTGATTTCATTATGTGACAATATAGGTATTGCTGGAGCTATTCACTAGTTTTAGACATAGTATACTGAGGGAGATAAATATGTATATCTATATTATATAAATATATATAATAACACATTTATTTTACTATAGGCTATGTCTTATGAGCTAATGAGAACTGACTAGCTAGATGGATGGATGAAATCCATTTCTGGCAGAAATCTTTAAAGCCTTTGTGTGGCTAATAACACTTATGAAGCACCTTCTAATCAAGTAGACTAGAGCACAGATGATAGGGTAGAGCCTTGACCTGGCCTTCTACTGTTGGGGAAAGAGCAGAATTCTCTTCAGTGCATAGCTGTTCCTCAACTTAACTGTGAGGACTGCTCAGACTTGTTGGGTGACATACTTCATTTCTGAGTATGTGGAATTCAAGTTACTTTAGAAGGCAAGCATTGTCAGTCTGTCTCTGAGGTGTGAAATTTACACTGTGCTTTCTTGTTGATTTCAACTAATCCAAAAGTGAGAGCAGCGCTCGGTGTGTCATTGGTCACATACCATTTTTTGGAGTTGGATCATCTGTAGAGAGGTGAGAACACTACCCAATATGTAAAGGCATGTCTTAGCTATTCAACCCACCAAAAATGTAAAATAACATTTATGAAGAAAGCGCATCCAGGCAGCTGATTTTATTCTGTCTCTTAACTCCCATGCCATTCTCTTCCTCCTGCAGATCATGTTTCAGGCATATGGAGACAAACAGGGACCACTGCATGGAATGTTAATCAACACTCCGTATGTCACCAAAGACCTGCTTCAATCAAAGAGATTCCAGGCACAATCCTTGGGGACAACCTACATATATGATATCCCAGAGATGTTTCGGCAGGTAAAGGTGGCTAACTGGAGGGAATCTCATATGTTCCAAAGAGACAGGATTTTTCCTGAATTTCCATTAGAGGCAGCTTAGCCTGGAATGGGGGCACTCCCAAAGGGCAGGAAATACCTTAACACCACTCTCATTTCTATCTCGTTTGGGATTCGGTGACTGCCAACTCCAATATTGGGTAGTTCTTTATGAATTAACGGAATGGTGAGGATAGAAGCCTCTGTTGAGTAGAAGAAAGTAAACTGAGACAGCATGCCTGTGATGGTAGTTTACAATAACCTGTGTGAGGAGTTATGTTCAGGTATATATCTCCTAAGCCTATAATCAAATTATGGATATTAAAAAAGAGGCTTGGAACTCTCTCTTTTTCCTGTTTTCCAAGATAACCCAGGTCTTTAGCTGATAGCCTAGGTTAATATGATGAGAATCAATACTGGTAACATATACAAAGGATATAGAGTTCATGACACACAGTTTAAAGTATCAATTCTTTTGTGGGAGATTTATTATAGCTGAATAAAAACTAGTGTGAAAAAATACGACATTATGATTCTCACCCTTTATATGAAAATAAATTCCTTTGATCTGTATGGTGAATCATCTCTATGCTACAGATTTTTCTTCCATCAATGGAAGGCAAGAAAAGTACATTCGCAGCAGAAAATGCAACAGATAAAGTATCAAAAGAATACTGAATTTGTCCTTTAAAAAAATCTATGAATATAGGATTTTTCCAAGTCTCCTAGTCAGTACTACCAGTATTACCACATTTGAATTTTAATAAAGTAATATATGTGGCCTTGGTAAGCAGTCTATCTGTAATTCCTGTATTATTCACAAGTATAAGATTTCCTTTATGTAGTCATTTGTTTACAACAGAAACATAGCTATCTTCATTTAGTATTACCAGCATTAGTAGCCTACAAGTGGAGTGTTGGTTCTGTTCCCCAATGCCAGAACTATAAATAGAAATGTCATTCTATATAATTCTCCTTATAGAATAGACATAAACACTGTGATTGGAACATGTAGGTATGAATGTGTCATATTGCCTTTAAATGTTGCTTTGAGACAAGCAAAGAAACAACCAGTTCCCACTTCATGAGGCATTTGTTTTGGTAATATGGAAGTTGGAAATGGAAATTATAATGGTTTTTAAGTGGATCAGTGTGTCTGTCTGTCTTCTCATTTTTGAGCAAAATTGATCTGCACATTTACAAATAGTCCTCCACCCCTCATGAACTAATTCCTGCATGCGGGCTGATAGATCTGAAAAGAAAGAGGATGCTTCCCCTGAACCTAGTCTAGTAGAAACGTTTTTCTTGCCTTCTTGGGTTTTCTTTGTATTAGCTGAGTGTCATATCACTTTTCCTGATTATTTTTCTATTCCTCTTGGATTTTTCTTCCATTTTTTAAAAGAGGGATTAATGCTACTTAGTTTTTTATTTTAATTTTCCTGGGGGGTTAGTGGTCAGGTCTGTTTGTTAGGTCTGTTGTGTTTGTTAATGCTCTATGCTGATTCAGAACTCAGCAATTTGACTTTGTTGGAAAAGTGCCTGCTTTTGACCTGTGAAAAACATTATGTGAAAAATAATTACAAATCTGTTTTTTAACTGAGAATGAGAGCTGCAGAATTTGGCCTAATGCTTCGATGCTCAGCAGAACACTTGGAAAGGAAAGAGCAAAATCAGATTGACTGAAACTTAATATTTATTTTTGTGATGTTGAATTGCTCATTGTCACTGATGACTCAAACTTCTCTCCTCCACTAGTCTCTGATCAAACTCTGGGAGTCTATGTCCACTCAAGCATTCCTTCCATCACCCCCCCTGCCTTCTGACATGCTGACATATACGGAGCTCGTGTTGGATGATCAAGGTCAGCTGGTCCACATGAATAGGCTTCCAGGAGGAAATGAGGCAAGTAGCTGAATCCCCTTCCCCCTTTCCTTAATCTCTGTGACCACTAGTAGCAGCTTTCCATGGAGCTGGTCATTAAATAGCATTAATTTAGATCCTGCATTAATTTAGGTGCTACATAGGTAGCATAGTAGTCTTGCTGGTAGAGAATATTGACTAGATATCAAGGAATTATTAGTTTTTTAGGTGTGATAATATTTTTTAAATGGTGTTAACAATTTTGCTTTCTAAAAAAGAATGATGTTTTCTGTTGGACATAACCTATTTAAAATAGTTACAGGTGAAATGATCCAATGTCGAAGATTTGCTTCAGAGTAATGGTGGGGTGAGCGTGGGACTATAGATGAAACAAGATTGTTCATGAGTTGTTAATCAAAGCTAGATGATATATCCATCGGAGTAGACCGTTTTCTCTATTCTTGTATATACTTGAAATTTTGAGATTTGTCTATAATAAAAAGTTAAAATGTTGTTTTGCTTGATGTTTTTTTCTTATTTGAATACTTACATACTAGTATACCTTTTTTGGCATGTTTTCTGTGCTCAGGTAATTTGATCTGGTGCTATTAATGATCATGGTATATATATTCTTAAAGAGGCTCAACCAGAACCAGAGATTTAAACATAAAAGAAAGTAGCAGAAGCCCATTTCTGGTAGTTGTCTAAGAATGCATTTTCTGGCATTGGAATCCTCTCTTTTATGGTGCACTGTTAATAATGATATAAAGTCATATTCTACCCTTTGGCCTATGTCCTCCTCTTCCTGATTTTAACTATGCTTTCAATGTATAGTTACAACCGAAATAACAAAAATAATACACCTAAAAAGAGATAGGTTTTTATTTCAACCTTAGATAGAATCCCTAGATAAATCTCATTCTTTAGAAAGAGTAATCTTTACCTGGGTATTCTCCATAAACAGGCTGGGTAGACCTTTGGAGGTGATATGTGGTATTTTCCATTTTGTGCAGTATCTTCTTCAAAATCTGTTACTGTATATACAAGGTGTGTGCTGTTTCAGTAAGTACACCGGTGGATGCCAAAAGTAGATGAATTGGTATTAAGATGGATGCAAGCATTGGACCAGATGGAGAATGTCAGACTATAGGAGTTCTTCTAATCTAATGCCTCAACAAATAGCAAAGGCAAGAGGTGAAGGAGGAAAGATGCATAGAATTTTGACAAGAATAGATACATACTCGTTAATACACAAAGTTGAAGCAGAGGTTTGTGCCACGGTGTAGCATCTATGTAGTGAGCCCCTCAACAGCAAAGAAAAGCTTCATTGTGCTAGACTTAAATTCTGATTCATTCAACAGTGTAGTCTTTAGGAATGGAAGGCACCCTTGTGAACATGGGGCTGAGAGAAAAACGGTTTAACTAATGTAATTAACACAAAAAAATGAGATTTTTGGCCACGTGAAAGCTAGCAGCACTGCTGTGTGAAACCTCTTGCCATGATCTTTCTCTTCTGCTTTCTCTCTGCTCTCATTCTGTGTTTGAGCGAATGGAGACTGGGGGAATAGTGAAGTCCCAGAGGGACAGAGCTCTGTTCTTGCTGAAATTACAAGCACAGAGCTGCCTGGGCATGAACATGTAGTGTTTACTCTGCCAGTATGAATACAAATAGTCTTATTATACGGGACTCTGTACCCAAAGACCACACACACACACACACACACACACACACACACACACACGAATAAAAAAAAAAAATTAAAGGTTTTTTTTAACCCTTTTAAGACCCAACAAACCTGGGTGCAAAAGGGATGTCTTAAACAGCCGCAGAGTACTACCATTATGAGCAGTAGAGTCGGTACAGGGGCCATATGTTTTCCTTTGCCCAGTGCTTTAATAATCTTGAAATCAAGAAATCTAATGGTATTTGAATTTTATTTTTTGTATTTATTTTATTATTATTTTTTATTTTGCTTTTTATCAGTTCTCACTTTCTTCTTGTTCTACTCTTTTCCCTCCTTAGTTGCCTATTTTCTTTGTTCTTTTCCTTTTCTTCAAATGATTGACTAGGATTGAGGTGGAGTTGTTGGCTTGCTGTTTCTGAGTCTGAGCTCGGGAGGAGTGAGACTGATGTTCTTTTGTGAGCAGTTAGTGACTAATGCCTGGGGTGGCTGGTGAAGTCAGTCAGTAGCTGTAGCTAGATTATAGGGCATTGCGCACCAGGAATGAGGTTGGGGTATTAGTATCAAACTCCGTTACCAATAGCTTGAACGTACAATGGTGCATGTCCACTGAGAAACTGACCAATCTAAAGATGGAGTTTCAGCACTCAGAACTCTGAGGGACAGCTGTGCCTAAGAGATGACGAGGTGTCAGTGGGATGTATTTCCTCATGCTGAGCCCAGTTTTATCAGAGCAAGTTGACTTTCACCTATTGCAGGTTAATTTTCTTTGTCCAAAGAGACAAGTTTGTCATGAATCTGGCACTCTCCCTATTACCCCAAGAGTGATGTGAAGGGAAAGAAAAGAGCTCATGCTGATGAGATTTGGAGCAAATCTGTCCTGTCCCAAAGAGAATGGGCATCTGAACAGAGCCTTGAGAAATAGTTTTATTAAAAAAGGAATAAAAAATTGACCCGTTAATGTTCTGAGAGCCAAGGCTCCATGTAAATGCATTGATGCTACATAGACATTAAATCATCATAATGTGGTGTTCTCCAAAGGTGACGGCTCTACCAGGTCATCATTGTGGGTGATACTGCATTACCTTGAAGGATTGGAGTTTCTGGGTTTAAAAGCTAGCACATGGATATAAGGAATGAAGGTAAAACAAGAGCTTCCTGCGGAGTTTCCCCATGAATCGAGATGCTTTTCCCCATAATCAAACGCAGAAAACCTGTACTTATAAGACCATCGACTGTATGGGTGGCCGGCTTTCTTCCCTGTTTTTTTTCCCCCCAGGACAGTAAATAGGTAAAATGGTGATGGGACCAGGACTTGGAACAATTCAGTTCCATTTAGTTTTAGGTAACTTGTTTGCCATTTGAGAAAGAATATTGGCTGTTTCAGCAGAGATGTGACCTGCATTTTGAACATTGTACCCATGTTAAAAGCAGAAGAAAGCGATTTTCTGATGTGTTAGCCACTTTCTCCTCTCTGTTTTCCTAGTTGTCCCTTCCCCATCAAGAAAGGTGTAACTGAAGGCATGCCACCTTATTCATGATGGAAGTATGGGAGAACACATTTTTCTCATTGTCAGGTTTGAATGGCATTGCATTTAGTATGAATTTAGAGTAGGAATAAAAGAGATGTAGACCAAATCTGTGAACTGTGTTACTTGCAAATAGCTCCAAAGATGAGTTGTCTAGGGTTTTTTGTTAATAGTTTCAAGTAAAGATGAAAATTGTGGAAAATGTGATTGCGACATAGACTAAACTTATTTCAGTTCTAGCGGCTATGATGCTACAGTGATGGGTACCATATGTAAATACACAGCTAGATGAATGTGTACTGTTGAGCCTGGTTACAGAGGAAATGCAGCTAACCAACAGTTCTACGTTTACTGCTTCTCAGTTTTGGGGGAATTGTTTTCATTTTCCTGCCAGTTTGCTAACCTGTTTTGATCATTTGGTGGAAGCTGTAATTGCAGGTGGGAACATCTTGAGTAACAGTTCACAATCTACTGCAGCTGCGTTTCACGCTAAATCCTGTTATTAAAAGGCTCAGGCTAAGATCAAGCCAAGGGTGGTAACAGACTTGACAGAGAACAACTTAACTTTGCCTGGTGTAGGACAAAGAAAACACTAGCCTTCTTGAGACCACTTTTTTTGTTGTTATTGTTCTGAAATGTTATTAGCATTCTTTTATTATATTTCCTTTAACTGCTCTGTGAACTAGATCATGAATCTCTAATTGGGCAGTGATGAAAGACATGATAGGCAACTTTTGTAGCACTTTTGGTGTGGACAGAAAGTAGGACCCTGTTTTCCTTACTCTTTCAGCACGTGGGCTTTTTAACAACATAGACCCTCCCTCTCATCTCTCCTGTCATAATGAGAAACTGAGATGAGAACATTCTCTGTTTAGAAGCAGCTATAATAATTAGGTACAGGGTGTGTATTCCAAAAAAGGATCAGTAATGAAGGACTGGAATTCTTGCATGGCATTAAATTTTTTCCTTAAAATTTTTCTGGGAGATAAGCATATTCCAAATTGAATGCAATCTGATGATCACCTTTGCACGCACTACCACACTTAAGAATTGTAGTCACTGCAAGGCTTCATTTCTTCAGATGGGCACTAGGTGTCAGGGTTTTTCCTTCTCAGCACCTTGGCATTTAGACAAGCCTCTGGAATTGCCCTGTTTGGTGAGGCAGATCCAGTGGTATCCAAACCCCTTTTTTTTTCAGTTGGTATGGTGGGCTTTGCCTGGTGTTCCTCCAGTATGCAATTGCATTTTTAACTCTTGGGCAGAGATCAGGTGAACCTTACTATATCGTGCTCTACACATTTTTACAGGAAACGTTTTTTTAGGAAGAGGATGATTGAGGAAAAAATAGTGTAGATTAAAGTTTAAAGACTGGTTGCCATCGTGACTGGTATCTTTTATGCTCTTGGGGTGGAAGGGTAGGGATGGTGGGAATTAGGAATTTAGTTCTAGAACTGCCCAGCCTTGCCCATAGTTAATTGTTGGCAACATTTTGATGTTCAGCTTCAGCAAGGTGTAAGTGTCTGTAATTTTTTATCATAAAATATTTCAAAATTATAGAAAAATATGGAGAGTGATATGACAAAAACCCCTGCATCTACTGACTGCTTAAATAGAGCTTATCGTTTTGACACTGCTCCTCACTTTTATGTTGTTATAATCCTTTGAAATCTCTAATTGGAGTATAAAAACAAAAAAAATTTTAGGAGTTAGTAGGGAAAGAAGTTGGTAAGCTTATAGAAGCCTAAAAGATTGGAAGAAATTAATTAGTAGATCCATTTTGACAATTCTTAGGCTGGACCTCTAAACCCAAAGGACCTCTTTTTTTAATTTT